TGCCCAGGTTCACAAAGCTAATAAGTATCAGATTCCAACTCCAGTCTCTTGAGACTCTAAGTCAAGCATGCTCTTTTCACTGTGCCATGCTGCCCCTCGTACCTCCCATTATTTTCAGCCATTGGCTATTCTGTCACAGAACTGTCCTGTCAAAGATGGGGCTCAATTTCCATTCCATAAATGAGGAGAAGTAACTGTTACCAAAAATCTAAGTGATTTAGCAATAGTGAATCAGTAGTTTTCTGTCTCAAATCACCTTACTGTGACTACTGGTGTGTTAAGAATGCCATATTAAGCATTACCAACTATGTCATAATTCACAAGACACTTGCAAGAACCATCATTATTATAAGCCCATTTTAAGTGCCCAAAAGCATAAGAGATGTCATACAAGACAAAATCCATGAAAACTCCAATCTCACAACAAACTGAGCATATTTATCTTTGAGGATGGGAAGAACAGGTAAGTTTGTTTGCCTCCTAACCAAGAACAAGTTGGAGTAGAAATGGTAATGATTCGTAACTAGAAACAGAGGAAACAGGAAATCCATTGCCAAACGAAAGGGCAGGGATTTTGCAAAGCTGGTGGCAGCTTGGGAGTGTCAGTAAGATGGTCTAAGTGAGAAAATTCAAAGGGACTAATGGGAGGGGCTCTGAAAGGAGCTGGACAATTCAGCAACAGGCTTAAGGAACAAAGCGAATTTTTACCCAGGGGTGGCTTCCAGAGTTTCAGAATGCAAAGATTTTCACTTCCGGTATTTTAAAGAGATTGAACCCAAGGATCCAAGCTTGATAGAACTAGTTTTTTGGTTTGGAAAGATGCCATAGACTACCATTTAAAAGAAATCATTTCAAAAGGTTAAAAGGCCTTTTTAAAGCACACCAGCCCAGCTTTCTAGTAGTTACAGGACAATATGTCTCCTGAGGGTGCACCTAATTAGTACTTGACCTATTCAAATGAGTCATTACTCCTGATTTCCAAAAAACAAAAATAAAACAAATAAAGCAACAGTTGTTAGTTGAATTTGTCATTTACTTTTCATTCTACCCTGTCTCTAAAACTGTTTTAACAATCTAAGTTACGTCGCAACTGGAACAATACGTTTTTCAGACTCTGGGCAAGTCTCTGGATGAAGTCACAAAAAGAAAAAATGTCCCCACGAGATGACGAGGTGATAAAAGTTTAGCTCAACTGTTGGCACTCACCTGATGAGCAGTTGAGAAGAAAGAAAGTCATTTAGTTCTAGCTCCAGGAATCTATTGTCTTTCTAAAGAAAAATCTGAATCTTTACATTTCAGAGTCCATCTGAATAGGACTGGCCAACAAGCTTTAGAAGGGAAAACTTCCTCCAGATATCTACCTGGAGCAACTTAGTTACTGTGGTTGGCAATCAATAAACTGGCAATCAATGAAATGGATAAATATTTACATAAATACAAATTGCCAAGGTTTACAGAACAGGAAATAGAACACTTAAATATCTCTTATTCTTCCAAATAAATTCTTACAAAGAGAAATTGAACAAACCATAAATGAACTCCCTAAGGAAAAAAAAACAGGACTCGATGGATTTACAAGTGAATTCTACTAAGCATTTAAAGAACGCTTTTAATACTACATAAACTGTTTGAAAAAAATAGCTAAAGAAGGAATCCTACCAAATTCCTTCTAACACAATTATGGTCAAAACATAAAAAGAAAACTACAGTCTAATTTTCCTAATGAATTTTCATACAAAAATTAAATAAAATACTAGCAAGGAGATTATAACAATATATCAGAAAAATCATACATTGTGGCCAGGCTAGATTTATACCAAGAATGCAAGGTTGGTTCAATATTGGGAAAAGGACAAGCCTAATTGACCATATTGACAACAAAAATTACAAAAATCATAAGATTATTTCAGAAAAAGCATTTGACAAAATACAAACCCACTCCTTTTTAAAAAGAAAAAAAAACACTAGAAAGCACAATAATAAAAGAATCTTTCCTTAAATAAGTCATATCTATTTAAAACCAAAGGCAAGTATTTTCTGTAATGGGATTAAGCTAGAAGCCTTTCCAAAAAGATCAGAGGTGAAGTAAGGATGTCTATTATCACCACTACTACTCAATATTGTACTAGAAGTACTAGCATAGCAATAAGACAAGAAAAAGATATTGAAAGAATAAATATAGGCAATGAGGTAACAAAACTATTACTCTTTGCAGATGAAATGATGATGTACTTAGAGAATCCTAGGAAGTTAACTAAAATAAAAAAGCTAATCAAAACAATTCACAACTTCAGTAAAGATGCAAGATATGAAATAAACTGATACAAATCATCAGTATTTCCATGTATTACCAACAAAACCCAGCAAGAGATACAAAGAGAAATTCCATTCAGAATAACTACACATACTATAAAATACTTGGGAGTCTACCTGCCAAGACAACACAATTATATGAACTCAATTATAAGACATTCTTTGCATAAAGATAGATCTCAGGGATAGGGAACCTGCAGCCTCAAAGCTGCATGTAGCCCTGAGGCCCCAGATTCCCCACCCTTGATATAATTTGAGAAAGAAAAAGGAAAAGGACCCATATATATTTAATATTTCTAGTAGTGTGTGTGTGTGTGTGTGTGTGTTAGCAAAGAATTAGAAACTGAGAGAGTACCCATCAATTGGAGAATGGCTGAACGAGAAATGGTTTATAAATGTGTTGGAATATTATTGTACTATAAGAAATGATGAAGGGAGTGGTTTCAGAAAAACACGGTAAAACTTGTAGGAACTGATGCAAAGCGAAGTGAACAGAACTAGAAAAACAATTTATACAATAACAATAATATTATAAAGACAATCAACTTTGAAAGACAGTAACTTTGATCAACACAATGACCAATGACAATTCCAAAGGACTCATGATGAAAGGGTTACCACCTCCAGAAAGAGAATTGAAGGACTCAGTGCATATTGAAGTGTATTTTCTCGTATTTCTTGCTTTTGAGGGTGGGGGATATAAGGCTAAGCAGAAATTTGTTTTGCATGTCTATCATATTTTTAATGGGTTTCATTTTTCTTGCCTTTTCAATGGGCAGGGGAGAGAGGAAGATAGAAGGCAGAGAATTTGGAACTGAAAACAAAGAACCTAGTAGTTAGGTTAATAGATAGAGCAGCTGAGCCCTGAAGTCAGAAAGACCTGAGTTTCAAATCTGACTTTGGACTCTTAGTAGCTCTGTGACCTTAGGCAAGTCACTTAATTTTTTTTGCCTCAATTTCCTCATCTGTAAAATGGAAATAATAATAACACCTACCTACCAATATCATAGGGATAAAATGAGATAATTTTTATAAAGCACTTAGCCCAGTGCGTGGCACATAGTAGGTGCTATATAAATGCTAACCATTATTTTTATTTTCATGATTTCACATGTATTCTCAATCTACCAACTCAGATGGCTACTTCTTTGCCTGAAGGATTCTGCAGAGGAAAAAAAATAATAGCTTTAGATACAGAGGACCTCAATTCAAGTACTGATGTATACTATGTATGTCGTCATGTAACCAGTCACTCTCACTAGACCTCACTTTCCTCAGCTGTAAGATAAAGTTGTTGAAGTAGGTCAAAGCTCATTGTTATGGCCCTCTTTGGCAATCTCCAGAAGTCTATGAACCTGTTCTCAGAATGTTTTTAAATAATTGAAGTCAATATTAAATTTCAGTTAATTGTAGTATTCCTTAACCTAGGACCAATGAACTTATGTATGTGTATGGATGGACATGTATATCTATCTATGTATGTGTGTATATATATGTCTTTCTTTCTCCATGTATATATATATACATACATATGCTTATAATTATATTTTAATGTAATTGGTTTCCTTTGTAATCTAAATCATTTTATTTTGTGCATTAAAAACATGGTTCTGAAAAGGGGTTCATGGGCTTCAGCACCCTGTCAAAGGGATCCAAGACACACATAAGTTTAAGAATCTCTGATATAAGTTAATGATTAAGATATAATTTATTTCCTATCCAAGTTCATGGACTCCCTGAAGTCTATACAGTCAATAAGCATTTATTAAGCACCTTCTATAGGCCAGGTGCAGTTAGGGTGTCCATGGACCCCAGGTCAGGAACTTTTGGACTAGACAACGTCTAAAGTCCTTCAGGTTCATATATTTAGAGCTGGAAGAGACTGGGTACATGTGATCCAACCCCTTTATTTTACAGACAGATGAGAGCACTGAGGCCCAGAGAAAGAAGAGATGGAACCCAAGGTCACGTGGGTATTAATTAGCAGACCTGAGATTTGCACTGTGAATCTTTAGCTCCAAATTCAACAAACATTTTTTGCTTCTGTCTCAAAGGCTATAATCCTACTTATCTTCATGATTATCTTCATGAGTTTCTGAAGCCAAAAAAGAAAAAAAAATCTTTGCCTATTGACCATCCTTCTAGTGCCAAGCCTTCCTGTTAATGCTTATGATTGATGGACAAGCTGTCACCTAGACCATTTGAAAATCTTTCCAGTTTGGTAAGGTCTGCCAGAACTCGTCTTCCACAGTCATAGCCTTTGACCACCATTCCATGATGAGACATTGTTTAAACAACTTTAATACAAAAATATTGAGGTGGTTAGAGAACAAGTTAGAAGGCAACATGACGGGATTATAGGAATAGCTCACACTTAGAGAAAGCTTTCAGGTTTTCCAAGTAATTACATACATGACTTCATTTGAGACGCACAACAATTCTATGAGGGAGGTGCTGTGATTATCCTCATTTAGTAAATGAGGAAATTGAGTCATTTAGTGCCTTGCCAGGGTGACAAAGCCAGTAATATCTAAGGCAAAATTTGAACCCAGGTCTTTCTGACTACAAATCCACTGTTCTCTCTGCTACGTCACATTTATACAAGTAAAAAAAAAAAAAAAGAAAAAAGAAGACCAGACTGGGAAACAGGAAACCTGGGTTTTAGTACTGCCTATGCAATTTCCTACCTTGGTGACCTAGGAAAAGTTCTTTCACTTCTCTGGGCTTGTTTCCACATCTGAAAGATAAAGGAATTGCATTAGATTATCTCAAAGGTCCCTTTTAGCTCTAATATTCTATAAGAATAGAGATTCTAACCCAAGTATAGAAAACTGAAAATCAAGAAACCGTAAGCTCTGGGTTCAAACACTAATAATAATGATAACTAATGTTTATATAGTGCCTTAGGTTTATAAACATTTCACATAATACAATATATTTATTTTACATTTAAATAAGGTTTCTGTACATTATCACCTTTGACAGCCTTTTGAAGTATAATCATCTTCATTTAACAGACGATTCATACTCATCCAAGATCACACAGCTCAATAGAGGCAAAACCATAATTTTAACCTGGTTCTTCTGACTTCAAATAGTCCAGCACTCTTTTAAATTTATTTTTATTGATATCTTTTCTTTTTATATCACCTACATTTCTAATTTATCCCACCTCACTAACCTTCCCAGGGAGCCATCCCTTATTGAAGAATAAGAAGGAAGAGGAGGAGGAGGAGGAGGAGGAGAGAAGGAGGGAAGAAAGAGAATTTTAAAAGAGTAAAATAAAAAAAGCAATTTAAAAAATTTAACCAACATGCCAAAAAAGGCTGGTATTATATGTACATCCATAATCCCCCATCTCTAAAAAAAAATGGTACATGAAATTGTCTTCCAACCCCTCTTTTTTGGCACTAAGCTTAGTCATTGAAATTTCACAATTCACTTTTACTTGTTTTTATTCTTTCTATTTACATTATTGTAGTCATATAAATTGTTTTCTTATTTCTACTTACTTCTTTTTGATTGGTTCATATACATCTTCCCATGTTTCTCTGTATTCATCACTTTCATCACTTCTTACAATGCAGCAATTTTCTAATATATTTGTATATCATAGCTTGGTTAGCCATCCCTCCATCAATGGGTATCTATTTTGTTTCTAGTTTTTTGTTACTACCAGAAAAAATATACTGTTAAATATTTTGATTTATATGGGGATCTTTCTTTTTGTACAGTAATAAAAATTGCTTTCAGAAACTTGGCAGTCCAGAACTCTTTTCACTAAATAAATAGCATATTTCATTTTATCTTCATAGCAATCCGTAGAGGCAGAATAGATATTATTTCCATTTTATAGCCAAAGAAACTAAGATTCAGAGAAGGTTTAGCTTTTTCTACCTTAGTTTTCCCATCTAGAAAATGAGAATGATAATGCCGATTTCCATTTCTATGTGAGGGTATCCAAGAAATTAGATCCAAGGATTCTGGATCCATAAGTACCTATAAGATCATCCAATCTAACCCTTTTATTTTACAGGTGAAGCAACTGAGTCCCAAAGAGTTTAAGTGACTCACCTAAGGTCATACAGGTAGTAAGTAACCAGTCAGGATTCTTAGAGTCAGGATTTAAACCCATGGCCTCTGCCTCCAAATCTAATGTTCTCTCTACTAGCCCATTTCTTCTTGGGAGGCTAATATGCAACTGAGCTCCACAAATGAAAGAAACCATGTAAATTTAGATAAATGAGTATTTACATGCCCTCTTTCAATATAATGATTTGCAATGATGACTTACTAACCTTGTCAACAGTGACACATCATAGACAGGTTATGCGAATTAATCATCAAAATGCAATGAAACATGGGTGGAGCATGACTAGTTGGTAAGTGTCCAGGAATTCTCTAAGGAAGTAAAATGTAGTTATGAGTCCCATGAACTATAGGACAGCAGGCTTGAGATCTCATTTCAGACCCATCATCATCTATACCAAATCAGATGAACCATTATTGTTATTCAGCCATTTCAGTCATGTCCTACTCTTTGTGACCCCATTTGGGGTTTTATTGGCATAGATACTGGAGTGGTTTGCCATTTTCTTCTCCAACTCATTTTACAGAGGAAGAAACTGAAGCAAACAGGGTTATGTGACTTGCCCATGGTCACATAGCTAGCAAGTCAGAAGTAGTAAGATCTGAACTCAGAAAGATGAATCTTTCTGACTCCAGGCCCAGCACTCTATACACTGTGCCACCTAGTTGCCCTGAGATGAGCTAAACCTTCTCAATTTCACTACCTATCTGACTTTGGGCAAGTTATCTGATCCCTTTGGACCTCAGTTTTCCCATATGTAACATGAGACTTTGGGCAAGTTACCTGATGCCTCTACACCTCAATTTTCTCATATATAACATGAGAGGGTTGCATTTTTCAGTTGTTTTTTTCAGTTATATACAGCTCTGACCCTTTTATGGGATTTTCTTGGTAGAGGTACTGGAATGGTTTGCCATTTTCTTCTCCAGCTCATTTTGTTTCCATACCTAATTTGTGTGTATCTAGTTATTTGTGTGTTGGTTACCCCATTATACTATAAGCTCCATAAAGGTAAGGACTATTTTTGCCTTTCTTTGTATCCCGAGCAGTTAGCAGAGCTATTGGCACATAATGAGTGCTTAATAAATGTTCAGCAACTAATTGGGAAACATGATAAATTTAGATAAGATGGGGTCCCTGCCCTAATGAAACTTTCAGTTCAATGACTTTAGCTGATAAGTGACAGAGCCAGAGCAAGAATCCAAACCCAGATACCTTTCACTTCAAACGCTCTCTTCTTGGCAGTGGCAAAATTGTGATGTTTCCTCATCACGGAACCCCACCATAGCTTCTGTTCAAAAGTGCAATCCAGGTTCCTGACCTCTCTTGACCCACTCCCTATTAAATTTTACCTGAGTATTTGACTGGATGGCTACAGAGCAAGTCAGATAAACTAACTTAATTATGAGATGTTAATGGATGACATTGACTTAATGCTATAACTAAAGGAAATATTTTCATTTTTTTATTAATTTAAATATTTTCATTTTAATTGAAGCTTCAAAGTCTTCCAGGAGAAAATAACCCAATTTCTGCCACCTTAGTGGGGAGGAGAGGGAGTATTTTTAGATCCATCCAATCATACCTTTTATGCATTACCAACTCTGTTTCTGGGTAAATTAGGTCTGATAAGTGTCATTGACCACACCTCTCCATGATTCCCATAAGAGGAAGGACCACATGTTCTCTATTTCTTATCATCGGATCCTACTCCCATGTGATCTTATATAGGCCTCTGAACACAACTGCTGCTTAATATGTGCTGTCCCTTATTAGATTGTGAGTTCCTTGAAGACAGGTGTTTTCTTTTTCCTATTTCCCAGCACTTAACATAGGATCTGGCACATAGTGGAGGCTTAATATTTATTGGCTAATTATATTGACCAACAGATTACGGTCTGACTAGAAATTTGATCATTTTTAATTTGTTTTTTGGGTTTTTTTTTTGGTGGGGGGAGGGAGGGGTGAGAAGGCAGGGAAATGTGGCAATAAGAAGAGATGAAAATAGATTCACTATCTTCTGGTTAGGTTCCAGAAAATTGGGGAGAGGAGGGTGGAGCAAGAGGTGAAAAAAAAAAACAAGGAGTGTCAGCTTGGTTCTTGAAACCTATTCAAGGTACACAAATCCTTACCTAATTGGAGGAAATAATTACAGAGGAAAAATGGCTTAATTTGGAGTCAAAGGGTTCGAGTTTGAATCCTGCTCTGCTCTCACTACCTATGTAACTTTGGGCAAGTTAACCAAAATCTCTGAACCCCAATTTTCTCATCTGTAACATGAGGGGGTTGAACTTTTCAATCATTTTTACAGTTGTGTCCAACTCTCTTTGATGCCATTTGGGGTTTTCTTTGTAATGATAGTAGAGTGATTTGCCATTTCCTCCTCCAGCTCATTTTACAGATGAGGAAACTGAGGCAAAGAGAGTTAAGTGACTTGCCCAGGGTCACATGGCTAGTAAGTGTCTGAGGCCAGATTTAAACTCAGGAAGATGAGTCTTCCTGACTCTAGGTCTGGCATGCTATCCACTCACCACCTACCTGCCCTGAGGGTTGAACTAGATGACTTTTAAAAATGCTTGTAGCTCCAAATCTAGGACACTCTGTTGATTAAGTAGTAGTCATGAGAAGGGAGGGGAAATCTATACAAGCAGAATGAATTGAGCCCACCCTAGCTTGTAAAGAAAGAGGCAAGGGCGTTTTCCCTTCCCTACGTTCCCTGTGTGTGTATGCTCATCTGCTTCCCTCCCCACCCATACCTACATACTCTGTGGATTTTATTAGTCAAGCATAGCACTGTCAGAGTTAGCAGGAGGGTAGATTCTTTTCAGTGGCTTCGAATTCTGTAAAACATAAGTTCCAATTCTTGAGGGTCTGTAAAAAAAGAAGGGATGACAAGGGCCTTTCTAAAGGTAGAGCACTGAAAGAAGGCTTTGGACAAAGTTTTGAGTGGTATCTCATATTTCCATTCATATCACTTCTGGTAAAATACATTTTTGCTCAATTTTCGGGAAGGATTATAATCTATACAATGAAATTGACATTCTAACTAGTTTTCTTCTTGATGGGACTATTGAGGTTTAGAGGTTTAGGGGTTCTGGGACCCCAAAATCACAATACTTGGGTCCTGCCCAAATGAATTCAACCCAAGTCTTCTTTCAGCCGAAGACAAGGTTTATTAGAACATCAGTCGGGGGTGGGTGAGATTTAAAGAACCCCTGATATTGGCCAGACCCTTAAGGAATCTAAACATTTGTATTTTAACACAAGTGGGCCAGATCTTAAGAACCTGAGTGCCTTAATGGAAGCCAGAGGGACCTTACATACAGAAAGACTGTGGGAGGGATCTAGAAGTGGCCAAGTAGTTTGGGGTGACTGCAGGAGGGATCTAAGGAGGATCTGGATGGGAGTGACCTGTAAGCTAGGGTGACTATGAGGTAACAGAAAGCCAGGGACCTGGACCACGTGGCCAAGGGAGAACGGACCCTAGACAGGATTAAGGGTGTGTTAGAAAAATCTGAAACAAAAACCTACTACGGTGAGGGAGTGAAGGAAAGCCTTTATTAAGCTTCTCGTGAGACAAGCGGGCACGGCGCACTTTAGTAGTGTGTGGGCACTGGTTCAGTGGTAGAATCAACTTTTAAACCATTGGTAAGATCCATACTCCACCTATCAGGGCTACAATTGGTTTGGTTCATCTGAGTTACACTCTTCCTGGTCAGCCTATCACATGTTCATCCATGTCCTGTTAACTCTGCCCACTTCATGGGTCACATGTTCAAAAATGGAAGCTATCTCCACCCTTGGAGCGTGTCAGTTAACATTCAATAAGTTTATTAAGCAGGCACAATGGAGAAAAGCCTTTGCCCTGTCCCCGTCCTTGAACCTAACAGGTTGCAACCGGTTTAGCCTCTAGGGCTCTTTCTTAAGGAACTGGTTATTTACAGAAAAGTTTAGAGCACTTTCTGATTGGTTGAGGGACTATCCACAAGATCTTGGAATTTCTTATCGTGCTGTGGAAGCCTAACCCCCTAAAATCTTTCTTACAGGTAGGAAGTAGGGTGAGGGGAGGCATAGAGAGGTAAGACAATGGAGGGCTAGGCTAGGTTAAGGGTAACAGAGAATTGGGAGATTGGGTATAGGAGACAATAAAAGGCTGGTAGACATGATTATAACCTCAGGGAAGTCCAGACATTTGGCCATGTGGGAAAGTCCAGGGCTTTTCCTTTTTGGAGTCCAGATCCCAAAGACAAGGGCTTTTCCTTTTTGGGGTCCAGATCCCAAAGACATGGGCTTTTCCTTTTAGAGGTTCAGATCCCATCCCCATCAGGACCAAAAACTGTTGTTCAAAATTAATTTACCTAGTCTTTATCTTAGAAGATGTGAGTGAAGAAAGGAGTTAAATGTACATTATTGTTTTGTTTTGTTTTTAATTAATTCCTAGAACCAGTGTATTCTTCATGTCAACACATGCAAAGGCATAAGATTTCCAAGATTATCTATGAGGTTTATAGTAGCAGAGGCGTGGAGTTTCTGCCAAGGCTACCCTCAGTGGCAATGTGATAGCATAATTCAGGGCTTCATCAGTAGAACATTCAAGGACAATCTGCATCTGTTGATCTAATCAGATGCTTGGAGTGTTTTTATTGTTAATATTAAAATTTTGTTCATTGTTTTCCAAATGCTGAACCATCCTTGCAAGTATATAAATCCAATTTGGTCACAGAAATAATATTTTAGACATATTGCTATAGTCATCATGGTAAGATTTTATTAAAAATTTTAAAACGTAGATACATTGCTCAGAGACACAGTGTGTCATACTACTTAGAAAGCTAATTTTGAATTAGAAGACTTGGTTTCTAGTCCTGTCTCTGACAGTTATTTAATCTCAACAATCATTTAAAACTATAAATCATAGAACAGTTTTGTTTAACTTTGGTAGAGGATGTTCCCAATACCAATGAAATCACAGGGTGAGTGCTTATTCCTATCAATCAATCAACATTTATTAAGCACCTACTCTGTGCCAGGCACTGTGCTGAGCACTAGGAATACAAAAAGAGTCAAAAAATAGTCCCTGGCTTCAAGGGGTTCACAGTCTAGGGGGGGAGAAAACAAGC